TCGAAAAATAAAACAAGAGGATTACACGCAGTCATGATTCGCTGAACATGAGTTCTAATTCCTAGCAAATATTATATTGTAACAAACATTTTCGCGTCCAAAGAGTATGTATACTGGACGCATATTGGAAGTATTTTAAATCGGATATATATGGAGGTACCACTGTAGTAGGTAAATCTTAGAAATGTAAGTTACGCGTTGGTAATGATGATACGGTAAGAGATTCTCGCAAGTTGGTCTAAAAATTCCACTGGATCATAACTTATAAATTTTAGTTAGAAAAATTCTCCTGGAAGTCGTTGTATAAAATCATATATTATTTCAAATGCTGTAGCTGATACATTTTAGCGGAGTACTTAACGGAAACAATGGCCACTAGTTTTGGGGGAAAAATCTGTACCCGACAATTGTCGTTCCCACAATTTTAAATCGTATTATTTGATTATGTTCTAAAAGAGGGATTCCCAAACTTTTTCTTACATCGTTCTTTTTTTAAAAGAAGGGTATCCCTCATATAGCCCTCATATTTTCGACTTTAACATACGTATGCAACATAATCATTTACAGATAATTGCCCATAAATAGCTGAAAAAAAGATAACAACTAAATTAAGACTATGAACAAAGGCTTTGAGGAGAAAAGGAGATTATTACATTTATGGTTCATTATTTTTGGCGTCATTATTAATTTATCAAATATAAACAAATTTTCTCAAACGGAATCATAGATTTTAACTGCGCAAATTTTGATTTTAATTATTATGATGGCTGCGCTTGATGTATTGATGAGTTTTTTTTATTATTCGACATAAAATTGCTTTCTAATTTCACGTTCTTCGTATTTTTTAATAGCGTTTTCTTGTGTTCTTGCATTTTATAATTTTTTACACGGCATTCATTGATTATATAAAAATTTTTATATTTAAAATAACATTTATTTAAATAATTTTAGAGTATTTTCCCCCTATATTTATTTTATAGCACCTCTTCATCATTATATGATATAGTTTCATATCACAAACAATTATTAGTACAAAGGGGCTTTGTCCCTGAAGGACTATTGTTTTCGTTTTGCAATTTTGTGTTGGTTCACTCTAAATGTCCTTTTCATTTTTCAAGCTATTGCCACAAAATGTTAGAATCCTGCATTATGTTTGACGAAATTAAATAATGAAATATCTGCATAAATGTATGTATATTTCTCGCATTGTGATAAAACAACGGTACATAGAGCCATCGAATTTTGAATGACGTAATCCTACTGCAAATATAGGCATGAGGAAGCCCAAGTTTGAAATTTGCAGTTCCTTTTATTATCGATTTCATATTTTGTAAATATTTAACGAGGTTTTGATTAAGAATCTTAAATATTTCAAAGCGAGCAATGGCAACGTTGTACAGAAAAAAATATTTTTATCTCCAGCGCGTGGGACTGCGTATCGGAAATTCTAAAGATACCCTCAATTTAAAACTATTTTGCGATATTGCTGTTGAACTGAATTTTATGGTTTAAGTGCGAAGAACGTTATATTTAATAAATAAAGGTAACAGATAAAATGTTAAAAAACTCCCCTTGGGACGTAATTTAAAATCTGAAACCTTTCAGATTTTTTTAAATTTTTTATTAATTTTATTATTTTTTTAATAATAAATGGGACTTTGAACAGGCTGATCGATTTTCGGTGCATATTCAGCTATCGACTCTTGAGCATCATAGACACTCTTTAGAATTTCATCGACGCCTAGGGTGTCAATACCAACCCCATTGGGAATCTTTAAGAAAAGAAGAAGATTCAAATTGCCAGCTCGACGGTATGTGATAACTGACGAAATAGTGAACAGCGAAATTCATTTGCCTAACGAAGCAATTGTTACTATGGAAGCTGTAATATCCGTCAGCGAATTTTCTAAGTGCACATTAGAATCGCAACCATGGGAATATCTTCTGAAACAGATCAATAAGTTTGAACTGCGAATTCACTCATCGGATATTTCATGATAAAAAACAGGAATTCCTTTCCTCAAATTCTGAAGAGTACCTAACATGTAGCTATGATTTTTAATTGTAATTATTAAGGTACCGAAATCTTCATGTATATCACTATAATTATTTTACAAATAAAATTAAACAACAAAATTGATTTATTTGGTAACGAATTTGGTACAGTTGAAGAATTATGTAATTATTATATTGCGATAGGAAGTTCCAAGTTCGCTTTCTGAAATGCTGGCGTTGGATTTCCATTTCACTCAGCTTTCTTTTATGCATTTCACTTTTTTTCTATAAATCATTCCCGAATCATTACTTGTTTGGAGAAGATTTAAAGGCTACGTTGGAGAGAAAATATTTGAAAAAGTCGAAATTTCTTAGACATTGTGAAATCCCTTGATAATCTCTACTTTTTTATAATTTAAGTTTCAACAAAGTTTGAAATCGTGGAAAGTTACAGGGTCATTTAGGAAAGAAATTTCCTTCTTACCAAAGATGCATTTCGAATAGTTTATAAAAAGGTCTAAATTAGAAAACCTGTGCCAAAGTCGCTTGGAAAATTTTCATGAGAATTTTGTTTCCTTGCAAATGGCATATTTTAATAGCGAAACTTTATAAATGAAAAAGGTTACAACTTCAGATCATCTCCGAATCATCGTTTGGATTTACTTCGATAAGTTGTAATTGCTTTTTTGTTTCAAGGAACAGAACTGCAGTGTAGTGGCAATAATATGATAGTCTCTACTGGGCTTACAATTATTTGCAAAAAATTTCCGCATACAATTAATGTTATTACAGGTACTGTCTAATTCGGTTACGTGGAAAACAAGGAAAGAAATATCATTTATTTTAAAACTGTTTTGCTCTTTTTTAATAAGTTCTACTTCTAATTCAGGGATGTTTACCATGCAATAATATGCGGTTTTTTTTTTATAAGAAACTGTTTACACATCAAGATTGGACCACTGTGCAACCATGCATATAGTGGTTAACTCTACCATACTAATTATTCCATTGTTAATATTCATCAGAAAAAGATCTTACATTAAGTTTTTAAATATATCCAACAAAAGTAAACATCTGGTATACCAATATAATGATTAAAAAATGCATTGTTCATATAGCGTGGACTAACAATATTTAGTATTAGTATTTTTATTAGCATATCAAAAGGGAAAACTATCTAGTAATCATCATCATGTTATACTTAAACGTTTGCTGTTTCAAACTCTTCACATTTCTAAGCATAAGGTTAAATGGTTATGATACTGAAAAGAAACTTGTAAGTATTCACAGAAATACTTATACAAAAGTACCTAAACAAAAATGCGTTTAGACACCTTTTTCTCGGTAAAGAAAGATAAAAAAAATATTCGTATTATAATTAATTGAATATCACATTTATATTACAACTTAAGGAAACTAAATTTTTTTCGTTTCGGATCCCAAAAAATTTCAGACTATCATGCGTGCCGTTTAATTACTATTATATATACGCATAATAAATGCCCTCCTTAACGACTATAATATATATATATATATATGCTCAAGAGAGAAATTTCAAGACATTTATTTTGCGTGCAGACACAGGAGAAAGTATAATCGAGAAATTGTCTTTTTTCGAAAAAACGTTTTTCTTGCGACAATATTTTTGAAAAAGAAAAAGAAGAAATTCATTGCCCTAGTTTTCCTTAAATTTTTCTGTTACTTTAACTAGCTAGGTGGGATGATTAGAAACGTTAAATGCAGTATGGAAATAATTAATGTTTATGTTTAACGAGATATTAATAGAGAAAGAAATAAACTAAATAAAATTTTATATTCCGCGTACATTTAATCATGATTTTGGTACGGGAAAAAAGAAAATATTCCTTTTGTTCATTAATCTTTCGACCTGGTTTCTAAAACCTTTAATACGTATTGCTTTGTAAATAGAATCAAACACGTGCATAAATGCCGTTTTCCCCTTTAAAAGCTTGTAACTGCTTTTCTACATAATTTATTTTATGAATTATGTATAGAGAAATATGCTTCGTTTTATAATCATTCTGGAAATTTCTTGAAAATTATCAGTATTTAAAAAGTTTAGATGCAGTAAGAATTTCTCAAGAATATAAAAAAGTGTAATTGGAAAATATATAAAACTGTTGCGCTTTATTTATTTGTTAGCTTATATTTTGGTTGGTTCAGAAGAAATGACGAAAACTTAGTGTTTGTTTGCTTCTGTGAAAAACTTGTAGAATGCTTTAGAACTTGTAAAAGTGCTATCATTTTAACGTTGCTATTATAAATTGTTTTTATAAATTTATGCGCACTTTTTATGTAATTAGCTGAAAATTATCACCTTAAAGTAGAAGAAAATTAGGAAGTTAATATGAAATGAACTCTAATTTTATCAGAGAATCTGAAGAAATTTTGAAACTGATACAGAAATTCTTTATTTTTGCTTCACGTATATGATGTGAAAACGTTGGAACACTTGTAGAGACACTAGGTTATTTCAAAGCAGGAGTGATTAAAAAATGAGCAACGCCTTGGCCTGGACTCGAACCACTGGCCTCTCAATTACGCGCTGAGCGTGCCTCATACACTTAGAAGCTCTGCTAATTGCATTCTAAAAGGAAGATTTCTATTTATTCCTATGATGAAAGTTGGGTGATTTACTTAAAACCATTTTGCTCAAATTTTGAATTTTTGCACATTTTTCAAATAAACATTCTACTGCTCCCTTTTCTTAAGCCTAATTTATTAAAGGCAATAAATATTTATCTAACAATAAAAAGCATTTTATAAATGAGTTATGAATTTTTAGCAAATGTTGTGTTTTTCTACTTTTAAATGTTTGAATAGAGTCACCAGCTGTCAATAGTTTACAATATAAGAAATTTACATGCATTATAGGTTTGCATATATTCCAATTGGATTTCTTTATAATTTATAAATATTGTATCCTTCAATTACGAAACATCGAGCAAAACATATTTTTACAGTTCTATTTTGTTTCTTTCCAGAATTGCTGCATACTGTTTCATCCTGTCAGTGCTCCTGGAAAAGTTTATTCTGTGAAAATCGTGGTTTTAAAGCAATTCCTTTGAACTTGCCTTTTGATGTCAAGGAACTGTAAGTATAAACTGAAAATATTTTATTAAATCGAATGGTATCATGTAATTACAAGGACCATCCAGAAAATAAAGAGCGTTTCGCCGTACAAAATGAAAATCACAATATTTATTAGAAAAAACGATTCTCTTACATATCTGAAGCTTTCTTTTCTTCTTTATATAATTATCTCTTTTATTTAAACATCATTAAACATGTTGTATCTGTTCATGAGTTTTAGCCACCAGTTCATTAAGCCAGGTTGTCACTGCACTCAAAGCTTAGTATTGACATTCTTGACACGATATCACATAGATGGAGACGCCTTTCTTAATGGGATTGTTGTGTAGTGAAATTTGAGGGTTTATTGATTAAAGAATTAGGTTCTTGTTTGTAATTGTTCGGGGATTAGATTTTATTCTAGTGTAAATTTGTTCTTTTAATTATTTTATTTAAAGGGGATTTATTCGCAAAATATTATTATTTTTTTTTACTTTATGACTTGGGAAACAGTGCTTCGAAATTGTTTTGTGCTTGAAAAAGGAAAAAAATAAAAGGAAATATTTTTAAAATGTAGAAAAATAAAGGCGTGTTTAAACTATTTCCGGCACCATTCTTTTCCTTTTTCTTATTTTTTCCTTCTGACAATTTGAAGAACATTGCTGTTGACTTTGTTTATTGCGGTACGTACTCGCTTATCCTTGACGAAAGTCAGAAGGGGGCTTGGCAGGTGGATACTTTCACTGGCCATAGGTTTTTGGCTGGGCCAAATTCTGTTTTGGCTTTCATTTGACTTGCGAGCGTGTTGTCTCGGACAGGTTTTGGAGGTAAACGTAATTTACTGTGTGACTAGGGGGAGCGAAGATTTAGTATTATGTCAACCAGGCCGTTTTTCCTTCCTTCCACTGTTTGCTTTAGGTTGATTAAATATCCTCTCAATGAATTCTAACTCTTCAATTTCAGTTATTTCTAGAGAAAGAGGTACGACCGTACTGGAAGTTTAAATTTTCATGTGTAGGATTAAGATTGTAGGAAATGTGTAAGTAAAGATAATTGCATGCCTAAGTTAGTATTTATCTCTGCAGTCTAAAATACTCTGTTAATTTTATTTATGAATTGTTTAATATTTCGGGAATGACTCTTGTATCTTGCTTAACCCACAGAAAAATACGTATTTTGAATAAACCCAGAAGGTAAATGTTAAATTTGAGTCTGTAAATGGAGCTTATTATTATTATTATCATTTTTACATTTTGTGAAGAATTTATTTACTGTGTGAATTGTTATTCCAAATGTGTGTCCAGTCATTCAACCGGCGCGAACCCGGTCAGATCGCAACGCAAACTTAAATGTATTAATCGCTTAACGGCCTGTCTTTGTCATTCCTGATTTTGATAGTTTTAGATTAGGATAGTATGGTTCTATGTAAACAGATTGGTGTCGTGGTTTTGGCACTTAACAAATTTAATTGCAGTGATCTTTTGTACGTAATAGGATTGTGATTGGTGATGAGACCTGTGTGTGTCACATCACCCCCAGAGAGCAAGCAGCAATCATTTGAGTGTCATCATCCCTCATCACGCAAAAAAATGGAGACTATTCAAACATACTTTCTGAACGCGAAAGGTCATGACAGCGTCTTTAGAAGCGTAAGTTGTTTTTCTTTAGTGTGGGAGGGGCTAGATTTCATGCAAAAGGCAGAACTACTAATGCAACTCGGTATTTTGAGACTCTAATAAAACTCCGGCGAGTCATCCAAAACAGGAGGCGAGGAATGCTTTCTGCAGGAATTGTGCTTTTTCACGACAATGTTCGCCCTCACACTGCTGCTCCAACTCAAAAATTGCTGGTTCATTTCGGATGGGACATTTTTGTTTATCTAGTATAAAGTTTGAACCTTGCTTCTAGCGAGTTCCACGTTTTCTCTGAGCTGAAACAGTTTCTGAGCGGTAAAAGTTTCGGGACGATAAAGAGATGGAGAATATAGTGACCACCTGGTTTAATAAACTGGTGGCAGAAGAGACATGGGAAATCTGAAGCTCATGAACACATACGACTAATCTTTAAATGAAGGGAGTGATTATGCATAGAAGAGAAAGGGGCTTCAGACATATAACAGAATTTCTTTTTCCAGTAAATATTACGTTCTTCATTTTTTACAACTAAAGGGTTTTAATTTTCTGGATGACTCTCGTAGTTAACGATTTAACGTTTAATAAATCCCAATTGTTTATTTATCACATAAGTAGTTTATTAATCCTGTATGGCTCTCCAAAACTGCGTTTTTAATGTCTGAGTAACTAATTAAATTTTTTTACTGCAACTTCAAAGGTCAACTTCAAAGGGATCGAGAATTTTTGAAGCATTTTTATTTAGCGAAGCCGATGTTAAATACATAAATTAAATAACAAAATTGATGTTTCTTTTAATGATTGTCATTTTGGATAAATACTCCCATAATGGATGCATCCAGTAAATCAATACAAGATTCTAATAGCAATTTAAGGACTTATATGGGTTTTATATAAAATGTATCACAACATATATACGATTTAAAGGGTAAATATAAAGAAATTAGAAAATGAAGCAATCACAATATCCGCCATCATTTTTGCGCTAATAACTCAAAATCCTAAAAAGTAAAGATATTTTGAATGAAAACCAACAGACGTTTTAAATGCGCAAAATTCTATGTTATTTGTCACTAAATTTATAGCGACACTGATGGAAAGTACAAAAATATCAAGAAATTACTAAAATATTTCGAATATTTTTTACATAGTTTGATGATTTTAATAACGTGTCGGAGTGTGTATGTATATGCAATTTTATTCCCAAACATTTTAGCATCCGAACCCATAAATATTTGCCCTTTATTGAAACCCAAGTATGCTTGTAACAACGAGTGAAAGAGGAAGAAAATTTATCAAAATAATTTCCTAAAAGCATTAATGAAAGGAGAGCAAATAAATAAATACAGTTTCTGATATTTCATTAGCAATTGCAAATTCTTTAATAATTAAACTATTAGCCATCGAACCTGCATTATGACAGTCAAATTCTGTGTTGTGACTTATTTCACTTGTCTGGCAAAATTTCTCACCAAGTATATGAAGTGTATCGTGGCCAAGATGCAAGAGTTACTCCTGTCGTCATAAACTCTTAGCATCTTAAAAGATGGTAGTATGCATTTGTCCAGCTTGCCTCAGTGTTCGCGAAGAATACCTCTAGAGACAGATGAGAGGGTTCTCCATCCTTCTTCCTCAATAGGACATTCGGCTTAACAAATATTTTAAGTCATTTCCGTCCCAAGACAATAGCAGTCGCCGCTTCTGCAACCATGAAAACAGGGCGATAAAACAAGGTTCTGTCAGGAGCAAAGTTAAAACAGGTAACTACGAGGGTGAAGCAATTACAAGTAAAGCTTGATTGGACTTGTGATGCATACAGAAATCAGTATCTCGTGAAGTAATTATAGATGGCAATAATCGAACCAGGAATAGAAATACAGTGACGTCAGTTGGGTGTTTGAGATATGTCTATCCATGCAATTTTGACGCATTTTCCGAGTTAATCTAACATAGTTGCAAGTAGCATCTCGGGATTAGTCATTATACAGTCTACGAGCCGCAGGTTTTAAATTCTCAATGTATCTGATAATTTTACCTGCCAAGGAGGTTTCCGGAAAGTTCTGAATATTGTTCACCATATGGTCTGAAATTCCTTTAGTAACGGGCTCAAACAGAGTCCGAAATTAAGCAAGAACATGGTACAACTATCCTGAAGTATAATGACGGTTATTCAACTTCTTCTAAATGCGCATTTGACGAAAGTAGAACTGGAATTTAATAAATAGTGCTGCAGACTACACGCCAAGCACCGATCTGAAAGGTGATGCATAATGCAAAATGCATTTAGTCTGCTGAAGTTTTATCGCCACATCTAAATGCAATAATCAGAATTCTTCGGATAAAATTTGAATTCGTATGAAAGGACAAAGTCATACCTTTCAATTATCTATCTAGGATATTTTAGGAGCCATACACTCAAAATCAGCTGAAGAAATTGGAAAATTTTAAAACCATATTGATGCCGCTTCGAAAAACCATCTGTGATTTTCTTAAGAGATTTATTATATACAGCCTGATAGTATTTACAGGAAAATAATTGCAGGTTAATTCGTCTAGCAAAACTGAAGATGGTCATCTGAGTGAAAAACAGAGTTTGGTAGAGCTAGAATTCCTTTATGTAGACAAGACTTATTCATATTAATTGATCTATTAGTTTGAAAACTAAACTGTAATTCACATTAAAAGTTCTGATGGAAACTGAAAACAAAGCTCAATTTCAGATTCAGGGTTGACCTTATAAGGTATTTCTCCCGCCTTCTTAGCGTGCCTTTGTGGTGAAGTGGTCTACACGCTGGGCACGTATTCCAGAGGTCCGTGGTTCGATTATCGGCGAAGGCGTTGCTCATTTTTTATGTCTCTTGCTTTAAAAAACTCCTAATAGCTCTACAACCTGAGAATTCTTCTCTAACGTTAAATCTCTCAGAGAGACTGAGCCAACTTCTCTCTTTCTAGACTCAAAAGTTGGAGACAATGTAAATTAGTCTCCTTAAACTGAGAAATGTTGATGTCAAGTTTAATTTCACAAGCTCTTTTCTTATTGGGATACTGACTATAAAAAATGGCAAAATTCAAATTATTCCGCGTCATTAAAATATGATAGCTTACGATGAGAATCTATTAATTTTGTCAAGATAATGAATTCCAAACACAGATGTGACAGTTCATTCGTCTACTTCTCATCATTTCCAAAAATGGCATGGCATCCTCTTCTAAGGAAATTCTTTCCTTTTTCCTCCTTCAGCAGGTTTACAACTCTGAGAGGTGAACTGGAAATTATGAGTAAGAGAAATGTTTCATACCTTGGCATTTCCTCTCGTGGAGAGATAAATATCTAAAAATAATTACCGCAGGAATAGATATAGGCAAGATAAATAATTCTGAAGTATGCTA